TTCATGCATTACTGTAGTCACCCTGTGACCACCGTAGCACTGCTCATATAAAACCGTTGTGGGATATGTCCCAGAGCTACATTATACTGAATGCACTTCGTTGTCTTATCTGGGATAAGTTCTATTCCTGTTATTCGTCCTGCAGGGACTCTTTTTGCCGCAGTGGTTTACAGCTGTGGCGGTTATGTCTGTAATATATTTGATGTTCAGTAGAGAGTGTATTTTCCTGGAAGTCGGTGTGTAAACATTGTGAATGCTGCTCAGTCTCTCTAGGTTTCCAATGCCAGCAGTGAGACCGCCGTCAGTGCATAGTACGGCCTCCAGCACTGACTCCGAGGAATGTGATGAGACTTATGTAGCCATGGACTCTAATATGTCCACAGATGAACCAGTATGTAACACACAACTATCCTCTGATATAAGAAGCTGCATGATTATTCTTTCTATCCTCAAATTGAAGATAATCAAAGATACAGAAAAAAAAGCCAAATGTGTGATTTGATTTTGATCCACTTTCTGATGTGTTGAACCTATTTTAAATGATTCATATATTTGACATTTGCAAAGACGAAGATCCAACATTAATAGAGTAGAGATTTAGTAAGAGGCAGACTTTTCATTCAGGGTGAAACACCATGCCACCCAGAATGTTAAGCTGTAATGGTTGTGAATTAGAAATCCCATTTCCAGTCCTTACTGGACTGTTCGCTGCAGACGGACTCCTCGCCACTCAAACTCTTTTCTTTGCAGTTTCCCCTTGTTCTGCTGCTCTGCTTTCTTTATTCCCTATTTTTGTTCTTTCACATTTCCGGTATTATGTTCTTTAAAAAAAATGCCTGTTTTGTTTGATCAGTACCCAAACTGTTATTCAAAAGATCCCCCTTTTATAATTTGGGCATATGTTTGAATGGAATCCAAATGAGATGTCTTTCGTCATTGATTAATGCCTGCTGAAATAGGCACAACAGATATTTGAACACGGATATGACAACATTTCTGTCATCTGGTGATCTTCTTACAGTTTGGGTATTAGATTATTAGATACTATTTTCCTATTTTCTTGCTTTAACAATTTAACTTTTTCCAACCTTTGCTTTGATATTGTCTGCTGACTTCCTGTTCTTTTACCACTCATGTTTTTCTCCCTAGTTCCTCATTCCTTTGACTTCCCCAGGCTCTGGCTCCATCATTTTCTTTCCCCTGCATTTTATTCTTGACCATCTGCTCTTTCTCTTTTTTCCTTTGTCACTGCTTTTTCTCACTCTGTGTAGAGAGGAGTCCTTCTACTGCACAGTCCCCATCACCCCTGTAAAGAGGGAGGTGGAGGAACTTGACAACATAGAGGAGGTGAGCAGGCTTGCGAGGTTAGACATGCATGGCCTGCCCTGTCAGAACACCAGGGGTTACCGGGTGTTATTATTGGATCAGCAATTCAGAATGTACATAGGGCATACTTTGTTTTGCTTGTATCACTCCCTAACACCAGCTAGAAACTGTGGATTGGACACACACCAGGGAATTTAAATGACCTTCATAACAACTAACATATCTTTGTTTTGTCATCATCCTAATAACTCCACTCACTTGTAGTCAGAAATTAACACTACCTATTGACCCTGTTTGTGCCTTTTAGTATTGTCACAATACCAGCCTTTCGCCTTATCTAGTAACACTAAAGCTCTTTATCCTTATCTTAAGATATTAAAAAACAAGGAAATCGCAAAGGGGTGTGAGTGACCCACTGCTTTATTCAATATAAATATGGACCATACACTAAACAATAATATAACATGAACTCTGCATTCAGAACAAGTACTATAACCTCAGAATTCAAATTCAAATCTGATCCGCTTTGCTTATCATCGGACGGCTTTAGAGTTCTGCCCCGTTGGTTTGATGCCAATTTGATTGGCTGTATCAGCATAATGATGCATCCAAGGCTTCAGCTAACAAACTTTGGCAGTCTGGTGCCTGTTTGACCAGCTACATGAAAATATGTTCATTGATCAAACAAATCTATTATATCTATTATAATGCACACTTCATCTAAGTAGCATAATTGCTCCTTACTTGCTCCAGTTTTTTGCTGACTAATGTAAACAACCCATCTGTACCCATATTTGCAACTTTGTAATATGTTTTGAATGCAGTTTGGGCTTACAGGACATACTTTGTGAAAGTACCAACTGTTTGTGAAATCAAAACAATCTAATTTGTGACAATATTAGCATCCAAATTATGGTTATTGTGACAATACTAAAAATATGAATGCTCTTACACTTTCACTAGCTCAGTATTTTTCTTCAGTCAATAACATTTTTCCCCTGGCTTATATAGAACATGAAGCTTGTCGCCCCCATGACTGTGGATGGTGGGAGCAGCCCTAAGGTGAAGCCGAAGGGAGACAAACAGGTGGAGTACCTGGATTTGGATCTTGACCCCAGCAAGTCTACCCCACCTAGGAAGGTAGGAGTTTATCAGCCCCCTCATCCTGAGACATATTGTACACGGTTTGAATTGCCTTGTGTTGAAAAGTGCTATATAAATAAACTTGCCTTGCCTTGCCTTAAATTAGGACCAACCTTCATGTTTTTTCATTCTTCAGATGAAAAGCAATGGAACTGGAATAGTAGTGTCGGATGAGCGTGTTGACTACGTGGTTGTGGACCAGCAACGAACACAAGCCCTTAAGAGCACCCGGGAGGCCTGGAACGATGGCCGCCAATCCACAGAGACAGACACCCTTTCCAAGGGACCCAAGTGACCTTGTTGTCCCCCAAATCACCCTCTGAACCCCAAAACCGTTGAGCCTTTTAAACTAGTGTAGGCTCCAGTTTGTGCTTTGGGATGGTCCAGTTGTCACGTTCCACCTGAGCAAAATCCTTAATGTGGAGGGGCCAGTGGAGCTTCATAGCCACTAAACTGTATTTAGTTTACACTGCTGTCAGGCCTAGAACAGCACTGTGTGTACAGATGTAGGAAGTGGTGTGAGCCAGGTATAAGCTGTATGCAGTATGAAAGCAGGTGGAATGACTGGACTTGCCTTCTGGGTTTGACTAAAGCAGACTCACAAACTTTGAACATTCACTGCCTTCTTTATTGGATTCAATTGATTCTGTTGTACACCTTTTCAATGGCCGGTGTGCTGATCCACAGTTAACATTTCCTTAAAATATAATGCTGTTTGATGTTGTTTTGGAGTGTAAGTGAAATCACTTGATAACATGATCAAAATACTTTATCAATGCAACGCTACTTAGCATAGCTGTTAACAGTGTTGATTTTCAGTTTCTCCTGTTTGAGCAGAGTGAAGTTTCTATGGGCACTGGTCACCGGTCCGTTTTAAAAATTCCACCAGAATATGTTTGGATGGCAGAAACTGATCCCAATCTGTGTCTAGGAATACTTCAGGTCATTCCCTAGATAACCCAGTACGACAGAATTTCATATTTGAATATTTTTCAGTGCAAAGGCAGTTGAACTTGATCATTTTACATGTAACCAAGTGCTCAATTTAAGCTTTGAATTCAAGGTTTAATCCACTGAACATGATTTGATGTCCATTTACTTTGTACATGGAGATGCTTCAATCTCTTATAATGGAAGTGCAAAGACTGTACAAAAGTGTTATGTATATAAACATGAAAAGTGTCCTTTTATTTGTATGGAATATCCAGCGTGTTTGACTCGAAGGTATGTGGATTCTGCAGGGTAGAATCCTGTGCCTGTCTTAGGTGGTATCAGGACTTGTGATTAATGAATGAATTACTGTGAGTTTTTAAAAGAACGTGAGAACGTGGTTTTCTATAAGTTATGCAAAGGTATCAAACTAAGGCTAGAGAGAGAGAAAATCAGGTACTAATAATACAACTATCCATTTCTAATTTATTTCTCAAGGTATTTCATCAGGTGGATGTCGTGTCCACTTTTAGATCAGTATTCTTGATTCATATAGAGGAACATTAGCTTACGTCTGTTAAAATGCTTAGTTTGACAAGCGCCCAATTAGTTCACAAGTTCATTGAAATTCCTCATTTCTCTCTCTTCTTAGGTTTAATTTATTTCAAATTAAACTGCATACAGTTTTGGGAAATTGACTGCCTCATGTGGTCAAACTTGATACATCTTTTATAGACAGTGAATAAATCGTTATGTCTGCATAAATCTGTGCTTTACTAACCTGTGAACTCTCACTCTGTCCCAAGCATGTGCTACCACAAGATAAAATCATTGCTGTACATATTTTGCCATCAATTATATTACATGTATCATTTGAAAAATGTGCCTACTAATTCATCTTCATTCTACTTCACTCTTTCCTTATTGCAGTCTCTTTGTGATACGGACTGCAAAGCTGATGATGCTTTATCTTTTTTAATGAATCTCGACAGAAAATGTAAATTTTAAAAGTGGACTAAATAAAATCCAACCTCTTATTCTTGTGTTGTTTTTCTTCAATATGATTTCCATTGTGATTATGGAATCAAAAAGGAAAATATAAGGTGAATAAATAGAATGGGAAGGTAAAAGTAAAGTAAGATTATGTTTCGTGCATAGTGTTCTTTGTTTTCTTTTTTCAATGTTTACGCATCACATTAAACATTTGATAAAACCATTGTTCGTGCAGGTTGCATGTGTCTTCAATTCCTATATCTCTTGTCAATCTCAAAGTTATAATTAACAATTCAATTAGCACGTTTTTCATGTACATTTTATCCACATTCTGAGCAATTATAGCCTGCAAGTATGACATGATTATCAGAATATTTAAACAACCTACATCCGTGTCTTTAACTTCTTAAACCAAACCAAGATGGCAGCATGGAATTGAGCTAATGATCTTACACATATTACAATCAAATACAAACTATATAACATTAAGGAAAAGTACATTCATATTGTACTTAATGTCATTAAGCTAAATATAGTCATTTTAATAGCAATTCTACAACTATACATTTGATGTCACTTCCGGTGGCCATTTTTTGTTTAATTAGCAATCAACGTAAGGCTAATTCGGTTATTTGAGGTCAGGCTTATATTCTTTAAAATGTATATCATGCATCCATCGAGAGAAGAAGTACATCATGCATCCCGGGGATTATGTTTTGTTCTGCACCTGGAGGTACAGTGGTAAGTGTTTTTAGCACATTTTGACAAGCATTAGAAATGTTTTCTTTGAGATGGCTAGCGTTAGCCCAACTCTCCCTTTTAATCAAATGTATGTAACCAACATAACAGTACGGTCTAAGTCTCAAATAAATCGCCTGAGAGATACAAACTAAACCCACCGTCGTAATCTTGTTTTATAACTTTGGTTATTGATGTGAATGGGTTTATCATGAGGTTAACTTAAATTATTAGCTAATGGAAAGTAACAAACAATTACTAAATTATTTGAGCGTTAGCCGTTATAGCCAAGAAACTTATATAAAACACACTCGAACTACAGGTACGTTTACTCAAGAACAATTCTTAAGGCACTTGAGTATACTCTCCTTTTAATGGCAAATGTAACCCTTACTCCTCTCCATTTAACAGCAAGCTATTGTAGCTTCTTTTAACTCCATTACATTAATTTGACAGCTTTTTGCAAGTACATATCAAAATCACCCAAATATTATATTTTATTATAGGTTCTAATGCTCAGCTTTTACTTTAATTCTGATGTTATTTATTTTATATATAAATATGTTGGACTTTGTGTAAATATTTTTGTTATAACCCCCCCCCCCCCCCCCCCCCCCCCCCCCCTTGGTTCTAAAAAACACAAGCCATATGCAGCTTTTGTCTTGTAAGAAATTCTTTCAAACTAAAATCTTGCCAATAGTCCAAAGGGCCAGAATAGCAATTTAAAGCTTGTCACCTTGCACAGGGACCCAAAGCTGTCATTGTCTGGTTTTAGTTTTACTCAGCCAGCCGCTAGATGGAGCTGTTGTTTGATTAACTCTGCCTCTACTGTGAATATGCTTTCCCTTTGCCCACATCCCTCTCAGTGCACTCGCTTCTTGACATCCTCCTCTCTGAGCTCTGCAGTGCTGCCTATAGCATCATTATAATTTCTCCAGCATGAACTTCAAACACTAGGTGCTGTTTTCCTGGTTAACTGAAGCCATTGGCCAAAAAGAGATTTGAAATCCATGAGTTTGTAATTGTAGATGTTGTTTTTTTACAACTCAGAATTCAATTTGTTGCTATTTCCTGTACAGTGAGCAAATAAATGTTTTACTAATATGTAATACCAAATAAAGTGGTCTGTCAGTGGTAGAAAGCTTTTCAGGGATTTTTCTAAAGCCCAAACCAAGGTTGATTTTAGGTTGAACATGGTAAAACGTTTATTTACGCTTTTTATTTTTTACATGTGGCGACCAAGGCTCAACAAGCCCACAAGCACAACATTTTTTATTTAATATTTTCTTCTTATTCCTAATGTGCTGCCGTCCTTCAGATAAATACAAATTTAGTTTTTCCAAAATATGTGGGTGGTTATTCTTTGAAGTATTTGAATGAGTGGATTCAGATACAATCTTCTATGTTGGGTGATAAGTAGGGATGAGCACCTACTTTAATTAACATATGTATATCCAACTTATAAATGTATTTGTATAGAAGAATCTTCAATAACTTGTACAGGTTTGCATGAGGGGGCATTAGTCTGTCGTATTTTACCTATTGTGATTTATATTTCGTCTACTGATATAAATATCTCAGCAAGCTAATTATCATTTATGGATTCAGTACAGGCCTCTAGTTTACTCGAAAGTAGCATATGGGCTGACTGGCTTCACAGTCACATTTAATCCCATACATCTGTAGCTCTCCACATCATGGGCAACACTTCATCCTATGTAAGTCTGTCTTTTATTGCACTGGCTGTATGTAACCTTTTAATCGCTTTGTAAATAACCTTATTAAAGCTTGTGTTGGGGTATGATTATAAATGCTACTATGGCGTATAACAGATTGTAAAATGTTGCCATCAGGTGGCTTCATGCTTTACTAAAATGTGATTTTTCAAGTTTTCCCGTCACTGTCAGACATGGCTGACGGCATGACAGGTTAACATATGGCAGTTGACAGGTTTCTACTAATTTCTTTTGAAATTGCTAGTGTTTCATTGCTCGTGGGAGCGTCTGGTTTGCAGGCTCAATGTGTGAGAACTAGATTACTGATAATGTCATCATCTCGGGCTATGCTGGATTTATTTTCATCTCATGCTTGACCTTGGGGACCTGAAGAACATCTCCCCATCTGTGAACACTTTTATCAAGGCTGCTTATAAAGAAATATACCTTGTTTTGCTCTTATTTCTGCTATAATTCAACCCTTTCTCTTCTCTCTTTTCCTCCTGAAAAAACGTTGTTAATAGCATTATCACTAATAGAAATGGAAAGCAAGAAGTTCACCTCTCAACACAGAGAAGTGGGTGGTTATTGCCGTACTTGCATGAAACAATATGCCACATGTAAAAGGTAGCTTTGTTTTTATCTTGTTAGGCATTTATTCAAAAAAGTTTATTAGCTGTTGTAAGAAATCCATCGTTATCAATATCTTTGTGGCACATCGAGGCAATCTTTGAAGGTAAAGTAGACCTTGCTGCTCAGTTTGTTTGCACTCGTGTCTCTACAGCTGTAGTGGTGCAGCCTGGGGAACCTCTGCAGTATCTTTGGCAGTGTGTGAGTAATGGAGCAGGGAGAGAGTCTCTTAACAGGGCCAGCAGAATAATTATGAGGCGAGCTGAGAGGCTGTTCCTGGGCAACGGGGAGCTTGTGAGCTTCATTGGGAATGGCCTGTCCTCTTGGACCTGTGCCCGACTGATGGGAGCCGTCTGTAAGGTGGGGGTGAGGGTGGGGCGTGCAGTAATGTTACAGACGTACTCGTGTTTAAGGACAACTGCGCTTTGTTTTGGCTAAATGGGAATGGGAATAACAACAATAGTAAACCACTTATAACATTTTCATACCAGTTTAAGGAACTGTGTAGTCCTGCGCTGCAAGGAATAGTGGATCGAAAGAAAATAGTCTCTAAACATTTTGATATTTTGTTGAAATGTTTTTGTTTTTTAATCCTTTCTAATATTGGCATCCCCTGCTTAAGTCATTCGATTATATTGTGTGAAACCGCTTGGGTTTTGGACTTTGAGAAACTGGGATTAACATTTTTCACAGTACCTTTTTATTGACCAAATTAGGCATTTAGTCCCGTAAATAATTGAAAGATTAGTACAATTGTTAAATGGGGGCTGCACTGGCTCCATATAGGGCCTTGGCTTGGGAACAAGATGGTCACCTGGAGAGGTGCTAGTTCACTTCCTGGGCACTGCTGAGGTCTCTAGAGCAAGGCACCGAACCCCTATCTGCTGGGGGCACTTAACCATGACAACCCAATGTGTAAAACAACAGAGTGATAACTTAATATCCCCTGGAGGGATTAAGAAAGTATATCTTCTTCTTCTATTGGATGCCCTTGTGTTAGTCAATGCTTCAAATACTGCATGGTGGTGATTCTGAAAAAAAAAAAATGCAATGTGCTCTTGTCAACAAAATCGTGCCAACACAAGGCCTGGTTAATTAACCTCATTAGTTTGAGTGAAAAGTCAGCACTATAGACCTCAGTAAATTATGCAGATGAGTGTCATATTAATGGGAAACACGGTGCATGTGTTGAAAGTGAACATGTCTCCAGAGGCATGTTTGCCCTAGTAGGCATCATTGGGCTGGCAGAGCAGATAATTGACGAGGAGCTTCATGTGTCCCCTGCTGCTCACAGGGGCAACTGGAGCATGACCAACGCTGATCTTCATATTTGAGGGTATACAAAAGGTGATATAGAAAGATTATATGGAATACATTTTTTCTCCTCACATTGTTCTTTTGAGGATAAATTCCTTTTTACCACTGGGACTAAGGCATTTGTACCGAGTGACATATTTACAGTTAGGAAATAGGAGATATCTAATTGCAATGCGAAACTGATTCTCAATTAGGGCTAAACGATTAATTTAAATCGAAATCACGATTTGAAATGATGCAATTATCAAATCGCAAAGCCTGCAAATTCTTTTTGTTTGGTTTTGTTTTATTTTCTTGTGTGTCAGTCATCCACACCAATCAGAAGTGCTGTGCTCCACATGTACCAGTCATTGTTAACCAATCAGAAGTGATAGAAGGTGATAGACAGATTGATCCAATCAGCTACCAAGTATTTTTGAAATACTTTTCCAAATGGCTTCCAATGGAGCTTTCCTAGATGCTTTGGTGAAACAAACCATCTGGGTCAGGTTAGTAATGCTCCATCACATGTTTCTATTACAGGATGAATCTTATGTTGATGCGACCTTCCTAGCCGGAGATATTACATTACATTACATTACATTGCATTTAGCTGACGCTTTTATCCAAAGCGACTTACAATAAGTGCATTCGACCAGGAAGACACAACCTTGAAGAAAACAGAATCATAAAGTACATCAGGTTTCATAGAGCCAAACATTTCAAGTGCTACTCAACTGGCTTTAGGTAAGCCAGTCCTTTATTAGTATAAAAGTGCTTTGTTAATAAATCTATCGCTCGAAGTGGAGTCGAAAGAGATGAGTTTTCAGTCTGCGCCGGAAGATGTGTAAGCTATCTGCTGTCCTGATGTCAATGGGGAGCTCATTCCACCATCTTGGTGCCAGGATAGCAAACCCACGTGTTTTTGCTGATGGGAACTTGGGTCCCCCTCGCAGCGAGGGTGCAGCGAGTCGTTTGGCTGATGCAGAGCGTAGTGCACGCGCTGGGGTGTACGGTTTAACCATGTTCTGGATGTAGGAAGGGCCAGATCCATTCGCAGCATGGCAAGTACCAGTGTCTTGAAGTGGATTCTAGCAGTTACCGGAAGCCAGTGAAGGGAGCGGAGGAGCGGAGTGGTGTGGGAGAATTTAGGAAGGTTGAAGACCAGACGAGCCGCTGCATTCTGGATGAGCTGCAGAGGTCGGATGGCACATGCAGGTAGACCAGCCAGGAGGGAGTTGCAGTAGTCTAGGCGTGAGATGATGAGAGCCTGGACCAGAACCTGAGTCGCTTTCTGTGTCAGCTGGGGACGTATCTTCCTGATGTTGTAAAGCGTGTATCTGCAGCAGCGGGTTGTAGCAGCCGAATTTTACAAAAAACTTCCGTTGGGTCGCTTAAAAACAAATATCGCAAATCGAATCGCAATAGGCCTATCTGTCAGAAAAATCGCAATTAGATTATTTCCCCAAATCGTGCAGCCCTGTTCTCAATGGCAAACACACTTATTTAGTGCTAAAAGTCGCTTTCAATATCAATTATTCTGTGAACTTATTGTTCATCAAAATTTCGGACAGTGCAGTAATTGTGGCGCTTGCCTTTTGTTTTGGAGAAAGAGAGGGGGAAACAATGTTTAACGTCATGTTTTTAAAGTTATTACAACTTATTTTTAACCATAATTTGTCACATGACCATCCGAACCCGTGATATTTTCTATCAAGTTTTCCTTAGGCCGCACTTTTTGCAGCCATAATGGAAATCAAATTCGGCAAATAGTTTAATATCCTTTTAATATTGTTAGTGTGTGTAGCCTTACCTGTGGGCACATTAAAGACATTAAAACATGTTGAAGTGGTAATGGAGAATTTGAAATGTCACTTATTACTGACGCTTTGAAGTATTCAGGACAGCTCTACTACACACCTGGTACTTCATCAGATATCCTGGAAATACTATTCTCCAGGTTTTTCACTTTAACTTTTGATGGCAGGCTCTTTGTGCAGGACCTATTTATTCTGGCATATGTTGCACAGTTGGCCGGGATATACAGTCTTTGGTTGACTTCACTTTCTATTCTGCCAATATTTCTGTCTGACTTTGGGTTGAACTCCACTCTCTCTACCTGTCTCCCTAAGTGAACATCCTGAATCCTGGATTCTGATCAGATGCATCTCATTACTCTACTTCCTGGCAGCCCTGCATTGAGCCATCTTTAGTCTTGTTTACCGCATCCGTCGCACTCCCTTATCTTCCAATCCCGCCACCCAGTCCTTCTGTCAGTCGCTTAACCCTCAGCCCACACCAAGAACCCCTCGTTTCGCCTGCTGCTATCTGTCCACTTTCCTCTTTCTCGCTGCCTCTCCAGCTCCTTCGACTTCCCCTCATCTTCAACCCTCTAATCACAATAATGCAGCGCCAATGCTGGACTGACTCGAAAGCAACCTAGCATCAGGGCTCAGTGAGTCCAGATTTGTCTTTGTTCAGTCCAGACAAAATCAATTTCTCCTCCTTGTCCAACTCTTAAGTCGGCCATACAGCATCGTCCTCCTGACACTAGAATCGATTGAGGTGGATAGACATTATGAAAAACATCAAAATCAAGTAGAAAGAATGACTTTTGTTTGATCCTATATATATTTATATATTGTGTACATCTGATTAAATATTCTATACGCTGTTTTACATCCTTGTCTGTGCTAGAAACTGTACATGGAGAAAAAAACTTTTTGTTGTTGCTTTTCTGTAGATTTCCAGATCAAAGCAGCCCTCCTCTCCCCAGGCGGGTCCTTGTCACTCAGCAATAACTTGGACTCACCTGCCTGCCATGCCCTGTCTTTGACATTATACCGTGGATCCCACTTCCTGGAATGGAGCCAGAGGAGAAAAAAGTGAGTCATTTCAACACCCGCTCTCTCACTCTCACCAAAGCTGGCACTAATCAGATTTAGCCAGGGCTTGAGGATTGAGTTTGTGTGTGTGTGACTGCAATGTCATCAGCCCAGATTTGGAGCAGTAAAACCATTACTGTATTGGAAAGAGTGGTAATTGTATTTAGAAAGCAGGATCCTTTGGGGAATCGTAATTCAGCTTATGATTTGCGTAATTTTCCATTCCACAGTTTCACTGCATTTATTGCACATTTGCACAGGTCCATTAACTGAGCTGATGATTATTATATTACCAAGCATATATAACTGCACAACTCAATTGCAACAGATACTAACTTTACACTGCATAACGAGGTTCCATTAATTTTTAATAGCTTGAAGAATTTGCCTGAAGATAATAGTAAATGTATCGCACCTGATAATGCACCTTTGTGTCAGCCTTCCCATGAACAATAGGACTAAATGTCGCCGTATAGTTCAGTGATTTGTGGATAGGACTTTGCTAATAGTCAGCATTGTAGATGATCTGCTTATTAAACATGACTTGGAGATCTCCCCCTAGATTGAGAAATGATTGGTGCAGTATTATTTGTGCGGGAGAAGGGGACCTGAGTTGTGCATACTAAGATATCAATCTTTGATTACGCAGCTGCCTGAAGATGGCTCGGTATTTTCTGCCTCCACTTCCTCCCTTGACTCAAATATAGATTGGCTCCTTGAGTCTCCTCTTGGATGTATCTGTTTCTGCCTCTGTCTTCACTTTTTGTTTCGTGGTGTGTCAGCTTTTCATACGTGAAGCCGGTTGTCTTACACAGCAGCTCGGAGCTCCCGGCCTGACAGAGTGTCAGCGGGGGCTTGTGTCACATTATTGTCAGAGAAAATCTAAGTCGGGGATATATATTCTATATCCAAGTTATTGACAAGACATCGAAGTAAGGCGTATTCAATACAAGCTCGTATGAAACTAGTAAAGGAGAAAACACTCTAACTTTAATCTAGAAGGAACATACTGACAGTTACCAAGGACGATACATTTTGTATTATCATTTAGAGCAAATGATTGACCTCTGCTTAAAAATACAAAAATCACAGCCCATTCATTTGGCTAATAAAAACAGATAATTATCTACAAATCTTAAGTGAGGGAAACTGATGACTAGCAATTGTGAATTAATCAAGCTATGATAGGCAGCAAGGTATATGGATAAAGATGTTTAGCAGAGGAAGCCAATCATTACGATGCCCCTCCATTTATCTCCCATTGTAGATATGGCACTGAAGAGGAAGAATACATGCAGATAACACACATCACAGTCCTGACAATGGATACCGAGTAAGAAAAGGAGAGCATCTGTCCCTACCTCCCTTTGCATCTCAGCCTGCTCACTGCCTCAATGGGCTCTCACAGATTATCAGAGTCCCTTTCAAACGCAGCCTGGTCTCAAAGTGAATTGCTGATTCTCTGTAAACTTTTGACAAGGCGTATTACACAGATGGAGAGCAGACCTGCTGAACTGAGATGTGCTTCCAGCCAAGTGTCCCTCACCAGCAAGGCCCTGTTAAAAAAACACTTCAGGCAACTCAAGTCTGAAGAGATGTCGGACTTTTTTCAGCAGGAGCTTTTATGTAGCAAAGTGCGGTTACTTAATCACAGCACTAGGGATGCACAATTCATTCTAAAAAAGTATTGAAATCTCAATATGGACTCGTGCTTAATCCAAATCGTAGATATTTGGTAAAGGCAACATTTGAAAATATCTGAATGAAGTATTTGTGGTAACGCAGAGAAGTCCCGTCCTACTAACAACTAAATAAAAAATCCTTGTTGGGTACAAATCCTCTTAAAAATCTCACTATGGTCATTAAATAGATGTTTCAATGATTGTGTGAATAATGTTTCCAAAATGAGCATTCCCAAATCATTTCGCAATTGTAATATCAGTAAAAATAATCTCAGTTAGTTTCTTTTTTTGTTATTGTGCAGCCCAACACGGCCCACATGAGATGTAATATGTATCTATAATTGGCTGGATCTTTCAGTGTAGTACAGCCTCCAACTCATTATAAACTGTGTCTTACAAGAGCAATTACAGTTTTAACGCTCGGTTCAACATGCCTACTGCTTTTTACAGTAATTGATATCAGTATGATGCATACATAGCCTCTAAATCAGGGGTGGGGAACCTCCGGGCCCCGGGCCGTGTACGGACCGCGAGACCATTTGGTATTAAAGAAATCTAGACTGCAAAATAATTAAACAAGCGAGTGCCTGTTTTTCCTGGCCTTGTCGTATTACACAGATGGAGAGCAGGTCTGCTCTCCATCTGTGTAATACGCCTTGTCAAAAGTTTACAGAGAATCAGCAATTCACTTTGAGACCAGGCTGCGTTTGAAAGGGACTCTGATAATCTGTGAGAGCCCATTGAGGCAGTGAGCAGGCTGAGATGCAAAGGGAGGTAGGGACAGATGCTCTCCTTTTCTTACTCGGTATCCATTGTCAGGACTGTGATGTGTGTTATCTGCATGTATTCTTCCTCTTCAGTGCCATATCTACAATGGGAGATAAATGGAGGGGCATCGTAATGATTGGCTTCCTCTGCTAAACATCTTTATCCATATACCTTGCTGCCTATCATAGCTTGATTAATTCACAATTGCTAGTCATCAGTTTCCCTCACTTAAGATTTGTAGATAATTATCTGTTTTTATTAGTTCAGATATCGATCTTGTTTACAGTTGAGTTGTAATGATGATCAGAAATGTTCAGCTCTCTGCTGTATTATAGGCAGTTACACCAGTGACATCTAAAAGAACATCTTGTTAATTAAAAATATACAGATAATGGCTATTACTTTATGTTTGCATTTTCACATGTTTACTCTGCATGTTTCTAATGTAAAATAAATACACTGCCAAACCATAAGCTCTAATGGGTTCATTATATACTGTATATATTATTTTAAAGCACTTTAGTAGACTTTAAAAGCACTAGAATTTCACAAATGCGGTATTTATACTCGATAAATGAAAATAAACGTGTTTTCCTTGGACATTTTAGGAGGTGCATCCCTTACAAACAATTCATTGTTAAGGCCATTGAATGGGCTTTTTTAGGATCAGTGTGCCTGCAGAGTGTTGCCACAAATCTACAAGAAAAATAGTCTAGGTTAAAAGGAAAATATACTTCTTCAAACCTTTGTCCAGCTTTGTTTGTGAACATACAGAAAGTGTACACAAAGATAGTACTATTGATTTTTCTAGCCTTCCAAAGGTTATAAGAACGAACAACTGTGAGCACGTTGTATTTAAGCTTTACAGAATTGCTTCTTCTATACTTCTTTCTGCATAGGGCTGAGAGATATGGAAATAAATCACATATTATATATTGTAAAGCAATGGTAAGGTTGATTATTGATGCTCTCTGTTAGAAAAATATCACTCGTCACCAGCTTGGTCTTCAATATCAGGGTACACGTATTTATTATCCTTGCAAGAATGGAAGTAGTCGTCACACACAGGGCTGCGTGGGACAAATAGTTCCTTGAACTGTGTCCTTTAAGATGCTTATATACAAGATAGGGTGTTACAGTCAACAAGATGGAAGAATACCAGTTCAAAGCAGTATTCTGACATTAGTTAAGATTAGCTAAGGCCTGCGTAAGCAATAAACATGACAGTCAGATGTCTATCTCTGCGTCATCAGGCCACTCTTAGGAACATAGCTATCATAACTTCAACACAGTGTCTCATGAGCGTCATCCATGTAGTCATACATCCGGCTACATACACGGCTACGTAGGGCCTCTGTTATCACGTGCTACTCTGATATAGAAGGAACATTCAGTATTTTCCCTAAATATTTACATAATAATAGATTTAATTTGTTAGCGCTTTTACAGGTGCTCAAAGACGCTTTACAGATATAGTGAAGGGAAAAGAAAAGGAAGGAACAACAAATAAATATAAAGTTAAAGTTAAAGTCAAATAATACAAAAACAACCACACATTAAAAGCCAGATTGAAGAGGTGAGTTTTTTTGAAGGTGGTGAGGTCGGTGCAGTCTCTGATGGGTTGGGGGAGTGAGTTCCAGAGGGAGGGGGCAGCGACAGAGAAGGCTCTGTCCCCCCAGGTCCGGTGATTGGTGCGGGTGGGATAATGATCATTTTGATATACAGTATAATCATCAGTGCTGTGGATTTAATGACTTGGTGAGTACAGAACAATAACAGGACAGTCTGCTCAATTTAGAAAATGATATTACTTCTTTTATAGCAGCCTTTTTGAAAAGAGGAAAATACCACATTGATGATATGCACAATCTAAGATAATATGTAGTCTCATTGATATACTTGTGTTAATATTCCCCAGCCCTGACAGTACTTTGCTTATCGGTGTTGAAACCTGAAACGAGGATATGGTTGATGCACAGTGGACTCCATTTGGAGATTAGATTCACTCGTCACTATGGCACATTGAAGAGGAATAGAAGACCTCTGCTTTTCACATCCTGCGGTCCACTCTGTTACAGTTGGTGTCCAGTGTGACCGAGAGAAGGTCAAACCGGGGTTAAATGAAAAGAGTTCATGTCACTCGACGTGGTAGCAGCTGAATGCATTGAATGATGATTAACTGTCTTTGAACTGACTATAGATGGTGTTACACATAAGAGGGTATCGTGCCCTACGTAGTCCTTCTGCCAATTGTATTCCTGCCCCACTTTAACACCATAAATCACAATATATGTTCTCAAGTGCTGCCTCACAAAAACGTCAGTGTTGTTTTCTTGGAAAAAGCACTACTGTCTGATTTCACCGAAGACAGTTTGACACGTCCCAGTAGGAAAAGCACAGGTTTAAAAATAACAATGGCCTAATTCCATTTAGCTGCAACATGAAATAAAAAGGGTCATTATCAGTGAAGCCTATAATTGATAAAGACTAATTTGTACTCTCTATTGGCTTCAACGGTCTGTTTAGATATCATAATTGGCACCTGGAGTT